TACACAATTTGGCTGGTTGGGCTACCTCCCACACACCTTCACACAAGCTGTACCAGGACAGAAACTGCATTGCTCTTCTTAAATCAGTGGTTTGACTAACAAATCCAATCCTCTCCAGCACCCTGGCATACCCTTCACACAGTGGCCGAGGAGTGTGAATCAGCACACCCTCCAGTCCTCCTTCTTAAAAAGGGGGACCATCACTCCGGTCATCCCAAGGCTCTGTCCCTGACTTCCACAAGATGCTGCAGAGGTGTGTCAACCAAGACAGCCCTACAATATCCAGAGTCTTAGAGGACTCACCTTTCTCTCCTCCTCCCCCTCTCCCCCACACTCTGCTTCCAGGTGTGTCAATAGGGATTGTCAAACTATTCTTTGCACCACCTGGCTATATCCTCAGTTGAGGTCATCAGCATTCTATCCCCATTGCATATAGCATAGCAGGAAGCCAGGTCTCCTTCCTTCCTGAGTCTCCTGATGGTTTGCCAGAATTGCCTCAAGGCTGACCGAAAATCTTGCTCCATGGCCTAACCGAGTAATCAACACCTGAGGTTTTGCTTTAGCTACTACTAGGACCACATTGCTTTACTCGGCATCTTCGTATTTGTCAGCTGTCTCCAAAATCCCACAAGCCAGCCAAGCTTGATAAGACTCTTTTTTTCAGCTGCCTTCACCTCTGACATCTGGTCGGTAAATTACCACCATAACAAACACCAACCGCCTTGGGGCCACAACTCTATATTGCAGCTTCGACAATAGGGCTGTGCAACATGGTCTACACGGACTCAGTGTCTACAGCCTCCTTTGTAATGCTGTTGAAGTTGGATTTGAAGATCTCACAGACTGGGACCTCTGTCAGATGCTGCTAATGCACCGTCATTACCCTAGACTACATCAGGTCCATCCAGCATCCTCCCCCACCACCAGATTCAGCTCACTATCAGGTGATGATCAGTTGACAGCTCTACTCCCTTCTTGTTCAAACATGCAGCCACAGATCTAATGAAACATACACATGTACTATATAGCGGTAGGTCTGATGATACAATTAAAAAATCAATGATCGACCTGCGACCTAGGGCAGCCTGGTGCCAGGTGCACTTGTGGACCCCCCTATTCTCACATATGGTGTGTGTTATGGGTAAACAGTGGTTAACACAGATGTCCACATAAAAAGTCCCCCGGAGGGGACAATGGAGCCGAGCTTGGGTACCTTCAAGCACCACATCCATGGATTCCAAGGAGACTGGGTACACTGAGCAGTAAGTGCAAATGATATGAAGGTGCAGAGAAGCAGTCCTCTTGTCCACCACTGAAAACTCCCAACGTGAAGGCACTGAACCACTACAGTCCGTCCTGCGAGTGGCGGGCCCACAGACCGACCCATGTATTGCTTTAATGCAATTTCCAGCCTCGGTCCATCACCCATGTCCCTCGATTGTTTCTTCATCATAGGGGGTTTTCTGAAACCCATTATCTGGTCTCTCACCATGGATGAGTGGATGTATTGTTTGTCTTAGAAAAACCAGCTAACAGGAAATATCTTAATGCACAATAACTTATTTTTCTTTAATACTTTATATTGGTACTTTTAGTAAGGTTAATCATCTAAATACTTCTTCCACCACTGCTGAACTGTTAATCCACAGAAGTGTGATTATCTCTAAAACTGAAGAGCCAAATGCTCAGGCGACACTGACTATAGCATCATAACATTCGTGTCTGCCTTTATCAAAAGAAGAGTAGTTATCTGGAGTGCTTGTTTACATTCTCTTTTCAGAGGCTTACCCAAGGCCTCACTGACTTCATTGTGTTTGTTTCACTAACTGTGTCCAAGCCAGATTGCTATCGCTCCACTGCTTTGTTTTTTTGCTCTGAGTGAGTGACTGACATCATTGACGACTGTTTACCTTTTTCAGCATCATGAGCTGTGACAAAAACATTGCCTCTCTGTGTAAGTGGGAGGGGAGAAAAGAGATTGGTGCTTTTGTAAATAAACAAATACATTTAATATATCAATAAATCACAGGAAAAATATCTTTTTAGAACTGTGCTAGATTTTCATATTCTGCCCATTTAGTTCATGCAGTTTTACATTAAAATATCTAATTTTAAATCTTTCTTAATGTTGTGCTATTTTGATATAAATGCCTGCAATTTTCACTTAAAAATCCAGATTAAAGAAGGATATTATATTCAATCTACAAAAGCACAGAAAACCCCCAAAACAAACAAAACAACAACAAATTGAAATTATTGTATTTGCGTTTTCCAATATAGCCCTATGCTTAACATGTCTTACAAAAGTTGAGATATACAGTAAAATATTAAAAATGAATTCAAAAACAAATGTACCCGGTAAAAAACAACAACAAAAAAACAACAAAAAACAAATTGCGCAAATAAGCGATTCATTTGTAATATTGTTGCATATGAAGAAACAGAGATAAGAAGTTCAGCACTATGAAAAACTGCCAGGTCTCTTCCTGTTTAAAGTAAGTTCTTGCTCCCCACTGTCACTAAACACTTGCTCACAGGAAACTGTCACAGTGTAGAGGTTCTCTCTCTATTACTACCACTGTGGATGGATGGACTAACTGTACAAATAGTTAAGTCATGTAAAATAATTTTCCTTACAAATGTTCTAAATTAGTTTCTCATGTTATTTGCACAGTATTTGTGTATTCAATAAGCAGCGCTATTATTTTTAAGATGTTTTGTTTTAAATGAGAGAAATCTCTGCATACAAAGACCAAGGCAAGGACTACTGAACAGCTAAAACCCTACACTCACAGTTAAAGTACAACTTTTCAACTATTTTTAAAAGCCAAACAGCTAATCAACAAATCACATAGCAGCTCAATGCATTTAGGTGTGTAGACATGTCAAGACAGCCTGCTAAAGGTATAACCGAGCAATGGATTGGAGAAGAAAGGTGATTTAAGTCACTTTGAGTCTGCCATGTTTATAGGCTTCAGATAAGCTAATCTGAGTATTTCAGAATGTACTAATCTCTTGGGATTTCCCACACAATCATCTCTAGGGTTTAAAGAGACTGGTCTGAAAAAAAGAAAGTCTCCCGTGAGTGGATGAGAATACCTTACTGATGCAGGAGATGCGACAATGGCCAGATTACTTCATGCTGATAAAGAAGACAAAAGTAGCTCAAATAAGCACTTCTTACAACCAAGCAAGAAAGTGAAAAAGAGCATCTATGAACACACAAGGTGTCAAACCAAAGCAGATGGGTTACAGCAGCAAAAGACCATGCTGCTGCCCCTCCTGTCAGCTAATATTTGAAAAGTCTCTTCTAAATGGAACAGTAAACAATTTTTAGAAATGTTGCCTGGTCTGATGAATCTCGATTTTTACTGCAACATCTGGACGGTAGGGTCAAAATCTGAAAGCTGAACATGAAAGCATAGATGCAACCTGCCTAATATCAACGGTCCAGACTGAAGCTGGTGATGTAACAGTTTGGGGCATAGTTTTTTGGCACACTTTGGGCCCCTTATTACTGAGTGTTGTTTAAATGCCAGAGACTTCCTGGGTATTGTTGCTGATCACTTTATGATTACACTGTACCTATCTTCTGATGGGTGCTACCAGCAGTAAAATGCTCCATGTGACAAAGCTCAGATCATCTTAGACTGCCTTACCAGGGTTTTGTTTATCTCACCAGGTTAAGGAGACGACGCATACGCCACAAGGTTCATGCAGCGACTGGTGACTGAATCTGCTCTAGACCGTTTGTTGCCTTCCACCTGCTCTCTTCTATTTTCCTCTCACATTGAGATATTCTTTAAGGGTCCATTTTGCTATAAGTCTCTCTTTTGTTTTTGTGTCTGGCAACAACCACGACTGTAAGTCTCTGTGAGAAACGGTTTCTTTTTTAGAATTCATCAGCAGCTCTGGAAGGATGTATTTGAGTATTTCCTTAGATCTTTTATACCACTTTGGCTTACCTACAAGCTTAATCCTGTGATGGCTTAATCCTGTAGAAGTGGGCAGAACTATCTCCAATTATTGACGAACAGCTGAAAAGGTGTGTCTTGTTGTATTAGCTATTTATCATTAAGTATTTTTTAAGGTAAAAGTATCATTATTAGTATTGGCAATACTTGCTCTGTATTTACTTGGTACTGGATGGATATTGAAATTCACAGTATCACACAGCACTATAATCCTGACAAGGAGACAAACCTCAGTGTTTAGCAACTCTGTGAAACAACTCCAGAGAAAGAGAAAAACAGTAAGAACCACTCATCAAGATCAGCCAGAAATCGATTCCTTTCTACAGCAGTGGTTGACCAAAGCAAGAAATGGGAAAAGGCAACACAAAGTCTGCAACAAAGACTACGAGTAAATGATAATTTTTAAGTTTTTGACATAATGTGTTCCCATTACATTTAGTCTTTTCTACACTTTATGCTCAATAAAGTGTTTTACACTTTGTTAAACAATGGTGATTGTGCTGTAAAATCCAATATGACTACACATTTTAAAAATGATTCATTATTCACTGTAAAGTGATGCTTAGTTTTTATACTTCCAATTAATCCCAAACAGAATAATAGAAAATGGAAACAAGAATTTCAGGAGGATGATCTGTCATCAGTTATGTAACTAACATGTGTGAAAGTTGTCATTTTCACATATATTCCAAGAACCTTCTGTTTTCATCAGCTTTACTGACCATTTCAACAGCTAACAACACTTTTTTTTCCTACAAACATTAAGTCCCTCTGGACACCGCAGTTTTCAGTGGGTGAAACATTTCATTACTTATCCAGGAATTTACTAAGGCATTTTTTATTGCACAGTTCGTTATCGAATGCTTTATTTCGACTCTTCTGGTCCTTCATATCTTATATATTATTAAACGGCTTATCCAGCAGGTTCACTTTAATTCGGTGTTTCTGTGATCTTTGCAGTGGCAAACTGGGAGCAAAGACACCCTCCTAGCGCCATGTATCTGCACTGCACCCCCTCACGCCGAGAAGCACTGCCCCCTGTGAAATTCCTGACTGCCAGGGTGATTCCTACGGTTACCAAGGGCTGCTTCCTACTGTAGCTTACCGTGTGCTGTGTGGCAAACTATTTTATAACCTCTGGATAAATTATCAACCACAGGAATGATATCCCCAGCGATAAAGGGTGAGTTATGATTTAATTACACCTGAGATTGTGTCGGCCATGTGTGTTCTGCAGATGTTAGTGTGCGGGCTCAGCAGTGTGTGAAGCTCAGTCTTATAGCCTATAACGTCCTGTCTTGATTCCTGTCGCCTACAAAAATGTGTGTCAGCGTGCCTACCTGTTTTTCCATACACACAACAAAGGCAGTTATCCGCTGAATGTGTGTTTTTAGAGAAAGACTTGGGAACACGCCCTTGCTTTTTTCCTACCTGTATGAAAGGAAATATTTTTAACTTAATTTCAATACCCTTAAACTGCGGTCAGACCCACGCACAAATCCACACTCGGAAAGTTACCCGTATTTGTTCATATTTGACCGCAGTTTGGAGTTTCTAATCGTCTCGGATCGAGTAGATATACATATTTATTACTGTCGCTCTCTCAAACACAAACTCCCAGAGCTACTGAGAGAGAGAGAAAAGTGAACTATGTTTCATACGGATGGCTGGATCCGCATAACCCCGGCTGGTGCACCGCAGCTCAGCTGTTAACTGTAACCTGCGGCGGCAGAGTTGTCGCGGACGGATACATAATGACACCTCAAGCCTCGAAAAGCAACCAGTAAACCGAAAAACACCCGGTTCGCCCGCCTGTGACCACTGCAGCACGCTTTGGGTATTCAGCTCGTCGTAAATATGGGCTACAGAGGTTAGGGAGAGCAAGAGGGGGGCGTCCGAGGCCACGGTAAAACCGGGGAGTTTCCTGCCACTATAGGTCCGCCTGCGTGCCGGGTCACAGGTAGAGGTTGGGCGGGTAACCTTGCTCAGCAGCTCCACCAAACCGAAACATGACTTCTGTTTAGCTAAATGGTATCACTTTCCCTCGTGTAGGCTTAGGCTAGGTAGCTTTTGCTTTCGTGTGTGACTTGCTAAAATACTCCACGAGGGGAAAAAAAGTCTAAATTAAGTTAAGCAGGTGCTTATGTGGCACGTGCAAGTTAGGTGACTTCTAATTAATAACCTGTAATGGTTTCTGTTGAGCTGCTTTCATCATCAGTGGTTGCCTGCTCTGTCTACAGGCCAGTGTGTGATTGACAGAAACTTTAATTTCCAGTGAAACACACCAGGCCATCCTTTGCCATGTTAGTTTAGACAGGGTAGCATCTAATTATCAGCTGCTGTAATAAAGAAAGAAAAGAAAAGAAAGCTCATTACTATGAGCCAAAGACTGCAAACTGTAATAAATGATACAAAACGGAGCAGAACAACAGATTTGTGGCACTTAGACTTGCTGAAGTACTTGTTAAACGACTAACCACTTGGTTAGCCTTAATAAAAAAGTTTTATATATAATTACAGTCAGTCATATAAAGGCTGATGTTTTCACACACTTTCTGAAATCTGTCTAAATAAAAGCTGCATGAGTGATGCAGTGAGATCCCTGACCGACATTACATTGTGACAACAGCTTCCTCTCCATAAATTATGTAAGACCCTCATCATCATAAGGACTTTATATTCACAGTGCACATGGATTCTTTTTCATTTCCTGCTCTAGAACAGTGTCTCTGGTTTCCTCAAAGCTTATCAATGGTCTGTCTGTCATATGTAAAATGTGTGTTTGACAGTGCGTCTGTGTATACAGCATATTTGGACCTAATTCTTAAGCTTGACATCAGAATTACTTCTGTAAAATAACCATGAACTCTAGGCATTGCATTAGCTGGTTAGAAATCAGTGAGCTCTGCAGAATTCCTTACATTGCTGGGGTGGTTCTGATAAACAAGAGGCTCAGCCACTTTACATGCACTGCTGCAGTATAATGTGATGTGCTGAATAGCTTCTATTGAAATAGTTACACGAGCTGTTCAAGTAGAATCATAGAGGAAACAGGGCTTTCTCTAAGAAAAATAAGATTTGTGTAATCATGTTAATTTATGTCGTTCATGTGAAGGTGGAGTGATTTTTTTAAAATTCTTTTTACTTTTCTACTGCTTAACAACAATAATGATTGTGAAATGATTTTTTTTAAAGTATGCTGGCATTTTCACATGTCCAGTGGTTGAAATAATAAAATATTTAAAATGTAGTTAATAATTCATAGTGACATTTTGAGACTTATTGTCACTATTCTGCCTGGAAGAAAACAAACCAAAGAAAATACTGTAGTTATTTATGAGACCTCTAAACGACTCGGTGAGTTTTGGGGAAAGCTTATGGTTTGTGTCAAATTAGTCCCTTTCGCAATGATAACCATGTTTTGAAAAGCTTATCTTGCTTATCTTGCTGACTGAAAGCCCTGAAGGCAAACCTCTCATATGTGTGGTCTTTTTTCCCTTTTGTCTTACAAAACCATGACATCACAAAGAGGTAACTGATCAGTTTAAACGATTGTCCTGGAGCAACGTCAGATACACAGGTAACCAGATGAAGTGTAAACAGAAACGCCTTTTGTAGTGACTGTTCGCGTTTACAACAGCTTCTTTAAAGTGTGAGACAAAATGGGGTTGAAGAGGATCCTAAACTGGATATATTTAAAGTCTCACATCAGTGAGGCTTGTGTTATTATTTTGCTTTGACAGGATAAAACGAAGAAGTTCACTACTCCTTCATAACCTATTGAAACTTTTTTTTTTGATCGGCATATTAATGTAGGGAAGCACTTTGAAAACAGAATTTTTTTTTAAAAGGGCTGCTTCCTGTTAAAAAGGAGGGAGCAGTTGCCAGTAGCTAATTTGTGTAATTCAAGATGTAAATAGTTTTTAAAAATTCTTTTAAAGTAGGATTGGGCACTTCATTCATTCCCACAGCATGTCTTTATCATGTCTTCCTTCTCTCACCCCAACTGGTCACGGCAGATGGCCCCGCCCCTCCCTGAGCCTGGTTCTGCTGGAGGTTTCTTCCTGTTGAAAGGAAGTTTTTCCTTCCCACTGTCGCCGAAGTGCTTGCTCATAGGGGGTCATATGATTGTTGGACCTTTCTCTGTATGTATGATTGTAGGGTCTACCTTACAATATAAAGCGCCTTGAGGCAACTGATGTTGTGATTTGGTGTTGTATAAATAAAATTGAATTGAATAGAGTCAAAAGTGAATCGAAAGCTAATACCACCAATCTGTAAAATGTTCCATTAATCACGATTTTGTTTGAGGGCATATTGCCCAGCCCTATTGTATAAACCAGGAGCTTCATATCAACTAGATAATCTGACTGTAGCTATTGCGTTCATCAGAAGTCAGTTTATTGACTGACCACCGAGGACCAGCTCATTGCGGTTGCCTAGTAACACCGGCACAAAACTGCAACAGGTAAAGGCCAGCTGTGAATCAAGCATAAGGTGTGGAGTCGGTGTCAGTGAGCCTGCCACTCTGCAGCAGCGCGAAATGTGCACGTTGAAAAAGTGTGAAGTCAGAAATCCTCAGATTCCAAATATGAAATGCTCGTGGAGTCTGTAAGTGTCTGCTGCTGGTTCTCTGGCTCTGTTTTCATCTCAGTGGTTTTCTCTGGGCTTCACTTTCATGACACTTGGGAATGTTGATTGAATTCCACAGAATTAATGGCCCTCATTTGCTCAGTCATAGATGACAACACAGCGAGCTTGTGACCGGGGCCAGACTTCCACTGCGACATGCTTACCTCGTGTCCCGGCACGCCTCATGACTGCAGCCGTCATTGAGCTGCCTTCTCTCCAAGTGAAGTGAAGTCGGTACTTTGAACTGGGAGCTGCTTGGGTCTTATTACAGCGAAGGGAGATGTTTTATCATGGTGGTAATAGAGGCAGTGCTGCGAGGGCCTTGTGGCTATGGAGCAGGGCGGCGAGGGAGAAGGAATGAGCTGCGTGCTGATGTTGGGGAGCAACTGAGCACGCTAATTTGTATTGTAATGAATGACAAAAACATCATTGTGTAGAGATTATGTCAAAAGTCAGGTTATCCAGTTATTTTATAAAACACGGGGCTCATACATAATTAGCTCTTAATAACGTCTTATAGGGATGCACAAATTGTGACAGTCTGGGCTGAAGGAGAATTTCATCCACCTGTTAGAAAGTCTGTCAGCGCGTCATCACATCATTTTTTTGACCTTTATCAAGCACAACATTGATGAGGAGCAACACATAAACCTCTGTTATCAGTAAATACCTCTCTACCCGCATCAAATACTGATACTTGGTCAATACTTCTGTGCATCCTGAGTATATTTCCTCAAACCTGCATCACTCAGAGATGAGATGTTCACTACAGATTTGGCCCTAATCATTTCAACCAATATGCCGGGAACATTCGACCTTTTAAACTTGTGGTTCAGTTGGGTTTTGTTGTTTTAAAGCAAAGTGAGTGTCTCCACAGTTACTGAGTATAAAATTAGGGTTGAAACAGTGCAGGAATCAAAGATTTGCCATAAAAGGCTGTGGGATTTCAGGATTAATCAGCGCTGGGTGTGAATGATCCACAGAGCTTTGCACTCCTGCTCTGTAAAGGGGAAGAACGGATAAGCAGGCTGCCTGAAAGGAGGTTTTGAATGAAAACATGATAGATAATCTTGGCTGCTTCATTAAATGCCTAATTTGCTGTTCAACACTGGAAAGTGCCATTTCTGCCTCTAACTTGGCTCCTACTCGTATAATGAGCATGCCTTCGTGGTTTAGGAGGAAATCAGCTTGCAGCAAATCACCTTGTTGGTTCAGTGACTTCGGCCCGCATGAAAACAACAGGTTCTGTACAGGCTGCATGTCTCTTCGTCTGTTGCTGTAAAAGTTCATTGTGTGCTATGGGACCAGTAATTTGGTAGGTTGTGAGTGAGCTGTGTGCTTCCTGGAGTTTCCGTAAACAGCTTCACAAATGTCAGTCTCACAAATAATTGTTAATCCCCTCAAGATGCAGCTGTAACTACTAAGTGCTTCCAATTTGATGTATTAAAACATCACATATTTTTCTTTCAGGCTGGTTGCTGTGAAGCTGTCAGTCAGGTCTGCTCAGGACTAGACACCCAGACTGAAAATGACCTTTTCGGGGACCCTTAG